TTTATTATTTAACTTTTATTACTAAAACTAAAATTGAAAATAATATATTATCTTAATCTCTTCAAAAATTTTCAAGTACAAAATAATGAATACAACTTTTAACTAGATTACAACTTGTTGCATGACTTTCTGTGAGTCATTTTTTGCTTGTATGAAAGAAAAGAATATTGAAGCCTCTTAGTTTACTTTAATAGTTGGAAAGAAAATTATTAGCTCTATAGTTGATTTTTTTAACGATTTTTCAAGTTGAAAACTAGTATATTTATTATGATATTTTGTTCATATCTTGCAAATTAAATTAATGTAACTTGATTGATATTCATTAGTCTTTGTTACAACTCTACCTAAAAGTCTAGACAAATGTTGTTCATTGTTAAGAACATAGCCAAATTTTGAAGACCAATCTTCAATTTATCAAACATTAAAAACTCAAATAAACATGTTGTATTTTCTTTATAGGTATTAGTTCAATTATTACCTTTTTTGAATAAAGAACTCGGAAATGATAAACTTTTTTTGGAAGAATACAACCTTTAGTAGTCAAATCTTGCTTTTGTTTTGATTAGTCATTGAAACTTTTGAATTTTTGATTGATTATGCATGACTAGTTATAATAATACATTATTTGTTCAACATTCGATGCATCTCTTTTTTGTTTGATAAAAAGATTCAGTTTTTTTTTATCAAGACAATTTTGTTTTGACTAATACAACAATGATATTTATATACTCATTTTTTGTATAACTAACTTAAACAAAGGTAAGAAATAAAATACTAAAAAGATAAAAAGACTGTGAAGTTGTGAATAACTAGAACAATGATATTTATATACTAATTTTTTGTATAACTAACATAAACAAAGGCAAGAAATAAATACTAAAAAGATAAAAAGACTGTGAAGTTATGAATAACTAGAAACAAGAACATGCACCTAAAAACAAGTTATCCCATATCTATAGGAGCCCAATCTACTTAACATTTCTATAAGTCTAGTCATGTTTAACTATTCATCAAAAGTTAAATTATTGAAATAATTAATTTATCAATAATCTAAAAATTGAAAGAGATATGTGAAACTTGAAAAGAAAAAAGATAGAAAAAAATCACAAGATGATCATAACTGATGCGGCTATGTTTTTATTTAAGTAGTGTTAATAAAAATATAAATATAATAGCCTTTTATAAAAATAAAATTTTTTCAACTTTCCTTTCCTTAACTTTTCCACCAATTTGAGATATTAAAAAAGTTAGGATTACAAGAAAAACTAAAAATTGTTGGGTTTTCACCTTTTTTCCTTCCTTTAAATTAAAAGTTTATCCATATAAGGGAATGCTTTCTTGTTTCTTTTAGTTTCCTTTATCTTCTTTTTCTCTTCATTCCCTTATTTAAATCCAAACACACTTAAAAATTTATAAAAAGTAAAAATAGGTACTACCATTTCTTAGTCAAGATTGTAATCTAGATTACTCATTCATGAGCTATATAGGGTAATAATTCAATCACTTGAAACAAAAAAAATTTTAACAATGATTTAAGACTTTTTTTTTTAATTTTTTTTCCTTTCCTTTCCCTCACTTCAATCCAAACACACATTTAAAAATTTATAAAAAGTAAAAATAGGTATTACCATTTCTTATTAAAGATCATAATCTAGATTACTCAACCATGATCTATATGGGGCAATAATTCAATCACTTAAAACAAAGAATTTTTTAATAATGATTTAAGCATTTGTTTAATATTCTTCGTAATTAAAATTTTACTTTTTAGATCGAATCAATCTAACCAATTGATCTCATGTCAGTTTGGCTATTTTCAATTATTAAAAATAAATTAGTTAGTTCGGTTATTTTTTTTAAAGAAAAATGATTAAGTCAATTTTTTATTTTTCAACATCGAATTAACTAATTAATTAAGCAACTATTGTCCTTATCTAAGATTTAAGAATCCTAAAGCCAAGATTTTTTTTTTCATTTATTTGTTTTTATCTTAATATATTTTTACGTAAAAATACCCATTTAAATATCATGCAATTGAATTAAGTGTTTAAAAATATTATGATAAAGTGATGATATTATTTTTTTATAATTTTAAACTTATTTATTTGATTTGTGAAGATATTGCATATTTATTTTGCATATTGTTAGCATTATTATTATGTAAAAGTCTAACTATATTCATAAATATATTTGTACTAAATCGAAAAGCACGAAATAATATGTTGAAACAACATGTATCATCATATATCATTTTTTTTTTCAAAAAACCAAAACATTGCCTGAAACAATATTAACAACCTTGTCTAAACTAACAAAAATATCACTAAATACCACAATTAACCCTAAAATCATTAATTAAAAGCTTAAAATAGCCCTTAAAAATCATTTAATGTCCTAATTAACCCCAAAATTACATGTTAAATGACAAAACAAACTTGCAATCAAATAATTCATGGCCTTAATTATCCCTAAAATCATCCTTTATTTCTCATATTATTTGGCTCAAAATTATGCATCAATTTATATAAAAATGAGTAGGGATCATTCTAATATAGTATTGACTAAAAAAAATCACAATATTATTCATGTTAATCATAATGTCTTTATTATTTGATAATATTGTCAACTTTATAAAGTTTGCAACATTTACATTATTTTTTTTAAAAAATATTATCATAATTATAACAGTATTTACGCTATTAATTTTAGTATTATTTTTTAAGAAAATATTAGTATTTTTAATTATTTTTATTCTTTTCATTTTTTTTCCCTTCAACTTCTCCTTTTATTATTTTCTTACTTCCTTTTTATTTTTTCTCTCTTTCTTCCATTTCCATTTAGCTAAGGTTGCTTGGGTGAGGAAATAGAGGATCGAACTCTTGCAATAACACAGCAATGGCTAGAAATAGTTTGATACAACAATCAAAATGAAATGGCATCAGTAGACCAGATTGGTGCCTCTTTTTCTCTCATTTTCTCGCTTTCTATTTCTTTTTCTCTATTCATCTCCTATTTCTGCTGATACTTTTTCATTCATGTGCCACCATCATCTTGTGCCCACCCTCTTTTCTCCATCGTTATTCTTATTCACTCTTAACCATGTTCCTTTTCTGTTTTATAATTTCTCTCCCATTCTTTATATATCTTTTTTTATTTAGACAACATAGCCTTTGAAATTGATGAAAATCTCCTTTCGTCTTCTTTGGAGGTAACTAATCAAAAGATGATAAAGAACACAAAATTAGGAGCTTTTATGAACATTGCTAATTTGGAAACTCCTTTAAATATATTGTATACATATTGATTAATTTAATTTAATTAATTAATAAAATATTATTTAAATTTGATTGATTTATATTTGATACATTGTTAGTGTATAAAATGTTATATATATATATATATGAGTAAATCACAAATAATGTGTTATAAAAAATAAATTAAAAATATAAAAGTTTTAAAAGAATTTTTTAGCATTTAAGTAAAAAAAAATCATTACTAAGTTGTTTTGTTTTAATTTCTCTCTCTACAATTTTGGCCAATTAAAAAAATCAAATGAAAAAAAAATCCTAACCTTGCATCATTGAGTGGTTTAATAATAAAAATTAATATTTGATATACTATCAATGTAAAATTTTAAGTATATAAGCGAGATTAAAAAGATGATACATGTTTTACTTTTTTAATTAGATTTTTTATTTTTTAAATATACCTAAAGGATATGTGTTATCCTTTTAACTTTACTTCTGAAATTAAAATTTTATACGATAATATGCCAAATATTAACTCTTGTAATAATATATAGCTTCATAGTACATCATATAAACATATTATTACCAACAATCTTGTGTTTGTTTATAGAATATTAAAATCTTAGTTTCAATTATTAAAGTTCAATCTCTAACAATTTCAAATATTAAAAAAATATATAAGCACATTATTATTTGGCTAATATTAATCGAAGTGTTGGCAATAAGCAATTATTCAATTGGCCTATAAACTAAGCTTAAGATTCCGGTTGTTTCACAAAAAATGATTTTTGTATTTTTAGATGTCTATTTGACAGAAAATTGGCTAGTTAATAAAAAATAACTTACTAATCAATAAAAAATAAAGTCATTTTTTTAGAAAATTGTTTTACGGATTTGAAATATAAAAGATATTTTCCTCAATAAAATTATCTATGAGTAAAACTATTTATCAATACTTTTGAATATAATTTTACTTATAAATAATATTATATTGATAAATAATATATTATATTAATAAATAATATACTATTAATATAATATATCAAAATATATTAATAAATAATATTATAATCTATTAATAATAATGTGTTAATAAATTTTATTATATTAATTAATAAATATTATAATAATATATTAATAAATAATATACTATTAATATAATATATTAATAAATAATATTATAATATATTAATAAATAATATAGGATAACAAATGGTTTTATTTTAAGTATTTTTTATATTAATATAATATTTTAATATTAAATATTATTATTAAAATATAATTATTTTTAAATATTAATAATTTTAATAATAAATAATTTCAATATACTTTAATAATAAATAATTTTTAATATTTTAATAGTTATATTAAATATTATTTTGAAAAAAAAAATTTTTAAAAACAATCGAACAACAAAAAATAGTTTTTATTAACTCATTCAAATAATTAAAAATTTCTTTCAAGTCAGAAAATATAAACATTTTTCAAAAATTATTTTTAAAAAATCATTTTTTATGAAATAAACGAAACTAAGTAAGATGACTAGCTAAAATTGTGTATCATTGGTGCCAGTTTGATGCTAACTCCGTCTAAATAACACAATTAAACGGTTTCTATCCGTATAAAGCTGAATTGATCTAACTTAAAGCTGACTTTCGAGGACTGAATTGAACATAATAAAAGTCCAACAGGGGCTTAAATGCACAACCAAGAAAAGTTTGAGATCTTATTAGACTTTTCCTCACTCAAAGACCAACACTGCCGTTTTGAGAAACGGTAGAATTGTCTCATCAAACCCCGCGTGACATGCTCATTTTCTGGCTGAAACTCCTTTTCATTTCCATTCTTAGAACTCAAAATTTTCGGTCACCTTCAAGATCCATTCTTCATAATCGATCAGATCTAAGCAAAAAGCAAACAGGAAGTTTGCCAAAATGTCAAGCGACAGCGATGACGAAGATGAGCTCCTCCAAATGGCATTGAAAGAGCAAGCCCAACGGGACCTCAATTACCAGAAACCGCCTTCCTCCAATTCGCGCAAACCGGTGGCCAACTTCGTTCAACCGCCGACTAGTTACAAGGATCAGAAGGCATCGGCTGCCCCGGCTCCAAAAAAGCCGGCTGGGAGGAAGATGTCAATGGATGATGACGAGGATTCAGAAGTGGAGATGCTTAGCATTTCGAGTGGGGATGAGGATATAGGAAAAGATCCAAAGGGAGGAGCCGGAGGAAGGAGTAGAGGGAGAGGAAGCAAAGACGACGATGGAGCCTGGGATGGAGAAGAGCCTGATATCTGGAAACGTGTTGATGAAGCTGAGGTACTTTTCATTGAAATTTAAATTCAAAGTAATTATTGAGCGATGATTAGTGAAGCAAAGGTTCTTCTTTGACAGCTTGCTCGTAGGGTTCGCGAGATGAGAGAGACGAGAACAGCTCCCGTGGCACAGAAGTTCGAGCGTAAACCATCAGCACCGGTGGGGAGAATACTTAACAATCTACAATCGTTCCCTCGTGGCATGGAATGTGTTGATCCACTTGGACTGGGGTAAATCTTTTCAGCATCTTTGTATTGCTTGATATTCATTTATTTTTTGTTTTAGGGGAATTCACTGTATGTAATGACTCATCAAGGTAAGAAAAGTTTGCTCTATTATTAATTATTGTGCTAATTTGATTACATGAATAGTTGCCTAGTCTTTTTCTTCTAGCATTAACTGACGTCAGTAGTTCCTTGATTTTCATCTGCTATAAGTATTGCTGCTAACCTGTGTGTTTGTTTGATTGACAGGATAATAGACAACAAGACATTAAGGTTGATCACTGAGTCGTCAGAAAGCTCTCCATCAAAATCCGATAGAGATTATATGGATAGTGGCCTTCGTGGTATTTTTTTTGCTTGTCTTATTCAATATATTTTCTTCATATTGTAGTTTGTCATAGTCTCTTTAGTATTTTCAGTTAAAGCTGCCTGCCGTTTCTAATTAGTTTCTCTAAGAATTATAGCAGTATCATTCTCTAGAACTGTATACCTGCAATCTAAAATACCTATTCACTGGATGCTCCTGGTTTCTTCCCTTTCTCTGCACCCAAAAGTTCAAATTCTTCAAACTTGAATTCATGTTTGTGTAAGTTTACTCATTTTTATCTTCATCATTGCAATGCTATCATTGTCTGAAATGGGTTTTTGTGATTCTACATTTTTTTGTACAACCAGATCCCTTATTTATGTAATTCATTAAAGTAGGATCTTATTCCTACTCTACCACAGGATGAATGTGCAAGCGTGTTGAGCTTTTTCCTTTTCAATTTAATTCCTTTCTCCTTTTCCCTTCCAGTAGACTATGAAAAGTTCAGAAATACAAAAGATCTGAGGTGGATACCCTTTTTGTTATTTTTGTTTGTTTATAAATGAAGATTATGTGAATGATGTCAATTCCTAGAAATCAGTTAATGTTTTGTATGGTGATAAGGAATGGTGGAGTTATCATCAATTTTCCTTTTGCCTATGGTTAGTCTTACTTTTAGCCATTTATACTATTTACTTTCAGTTCCATGTTTAGTTGTTCTACTTCCACCATAAGTGGTTTTTGCCACATCAAAATAGAGACTTGAAAGCAGTGAAACTAAACAATGAGAATTCTCCAGGTTTTGTTCTTCTTTCTATCATGTGGTTTTGATAATGAATTATACTCTTAAAGTTTGTTAATTTTTAAGCAATGTTTTACCAGTATCATTCATGTGATTCTACTTCCACATGCTCGGAATATTCTGAATGGTGCATGTGTTGATATGCCATAATCTTACAATACTCAAGGCAGTAAGAGCTCTACCAAGTCAGCGGTATGAGATGCATTCCAGTTATTGCAGATCACCGCAAAGATTATTTACTTCTGCTATTTTATGAAGGCATTAGTCTTCTTAATTTGGGGTGAATGTGGTATTCATGTGTTTGTTTATATTAGAGATTATAACAACTGTCAGAGAATTATCTCAGCTCTCAACTTCTAGCCTTCAAGTTTTTGTTGTTTGCTTCTGAGTATGTTTGTCCATGATGCCCCTAGATGGTAGAATTCACATCACATGAATGTATCTTCTAAACAAATTTTCTACTTCCTTCTCTTTAACTTCTGATTCATAAATGTTCGTGATGTTGAATCCCTCAATGAGCTACTTTTTCTCCCTTGAGTACTTTTAATTTAATTAATGCCAATGGATTTATTTTTTTTTTGTTATAAATATAATGCCAGTGAATTATGTCTTTTTTTTGGTGAAATTTTGCAGAGAAATTGATGTATTTCTCTGAAAAATTTGATGCAAAGTTGTTTCTATCCCGAATACACCAAGATACATCTGCAGCAGACTTGGAGGGCGGAGCTCTTGCTCTAAAAACCGATCTCAAAGGGCGGACTCAACAGAGAAAACAATTGGTTAAAGACAATTTTGACTGCTTTGTTTCATGCAAAACCACAATTGATGGTAAAGCACCTTGCTTCACTTGATTCTGGTACTATTTTAACTGTGGCAGCAAGTGTTTGATGGGTTGAAAACCAAATTCTTCTCATACTCTTTGCCATATAAAGTTCATAAAATTTTAGCTGTTGGCAATAATTGGTACTAATGTGGAGAAAACTGGTACTTGCTTAGATATTGAGTCGAAACTGAAGCGAATTGAAGAAGACCCTGAAGGTTCAGGGACAACCCACCTGTTTAATTGTATGCAAGGAGTAAGTTCACTGGCAGATCGTGCCTTTGAGCCTCTATTCGAGAGACAGGTTGGTTAACTGCACATGTTGATTTGCTTTCAAATTCAAGAATGATCATGATATGCAAGCAGCATGGGATGTGAATTTTTTGTAATTTGATGTAGGCTCAAGCTGAGAAGATCAGGTCTGTCCAAGGAATGCTTCAGAGGTTCAGGACACTCTTTAATTTACCTAGTACAATTCGTGGGAGCATTAGTAAGGGCGAATATGACTTGGCTGTTAGGGAATACAAGAAGGCAAAATCAATTGCTCTCCCCTCCCATGTAAGCAAGAAAACTTTAAATTGCTATGTAAAAAATGGATATTTTGGAAATGGCTTCATCATCATTCTCGCATCCATACCAGATTCTGATAGCTGCTTATATTTTATGTGGTCATTTATGTATTAGATAAGTCTACAATGCATGGTGTTAAGTTTGAATCAGCAACTCTTTAACTTTGGCCAACTCTCAATTTACCTTTATTTTAGTTTGTTTTCTGTCCCTTTTGTAATTCATTCTCTAAAATAGCTATTATTTAAGAAAAATCTAGAAAACTACAAAACGCAAAGCTAGCTTTCTTCATCCTCTGAGTCTATCAAGTTTATTACTGACACTAAGCACATTTTTTGTTTCTTTATAGAACATATTAAATCTGCTATGGTATTATATTGTTAACTATATGTTTTTCCTTATTTTATTCTTCTTTCTAGTTAATTTGATATGCAATCAAATACCAAATATTTTGATGCCTGTTATTTATGTTAGGTTAAATTAAAATCTATCAGTATATATCAAGAAGCATAAGTTACATTTCCATGTTTTGGGTGAAAATCACTTTCTATCCTGTGATATTAAGTAGAGATATGTGATCTAAAAAATTCGAGGCATGTTATAAGGTTAAATTAACTGAATATAGAAATTTATATGTTTGGTTAAGTTATCCTTGATGTAAAAAAATTGCCATCAATGCTTAAGTTACCCCTATCTTATAATTTGGTAACCAGCAATTTATATCCAGTTTATATTCCTCTCATATGAGTTTCAGTATTTTTTCTTCAATGTTAGTAAATAATGCTTAAATTTAGAAAGGGGTATATACATGAGCATGTTTTTACTTAAGTTCTGATATCATTCAAACTTGTGAATAAAGTTTTAATTCAATAATGTTATTTTCATCTTTATCTGCTTGTAGAATGTTTCATTGGCTCCCTCAACAAATTTAATGGAATTGTAATTCCCACTTAGTTGACAATTTTTGTGTATGTCAGTTTTTACTCACAGCATTGCTGCTGATTTTCACAGCTCTTTAGAAAATTCATAACACGAGCTGAAGTTTTGTTTATTTTTTGGTAGCTCAAGTAGTGAACAGATTGTTTGATGTTTGAGCATGCTTTAAGCTTAAAATTCGACTGTAAATCCATTGCTTCTATTGTATCATTTGTTATACATTACTTTTATCCATTGATTCCCTGATGGCTAACATCAGTGTTGGACCCTCTCCTTTATTTTCTATGCATGTTTCTCATAATTCTGGTGGTCTTATTCTCAGGTCAGTATTGATTTGTGCTTAAGTCTGCATATAGATAGAGGTCTTTTGCAAGAGCTAAGTTTATCAAGACATTATATGTGGGCTGAAGAATACCACATCTGTTTTTCATTAAAATAATTTCTTCACATGGCAATGCTCTTTCCTGCATAAGCAGATACACTTAACATTATTCTTTACTTTCAGGTAAATATATTAAAACGAGTTCTTGAAGAGGTTGAAAAACTGATGCAAGAATTCAAAGGCACACTTTACAAGTCCATGGAAGATCCACAAATAGACCTAACAAGCGTAAGCATTTGACAAGCCTTTTTCAATATTTATACAAGTTGTACTGGTGAAGAAACCAATAATTGATGTTGACCTAAGACCTAGATTGTCCATGGTTTTTGTTGAATTTTTTGATCATGATATTACAATACAATTTGCTTGATGCTTACTAACTCAAGAGATGCCATTTTTTTTTCGGTAAATCAATTGTATATCATTAAAATCAACCTATAACAAATTTTTTGCAAGTTAATTAGCCAAGTTTTGAATGGGAATGAAGATAAAAGAGAGCTTGCAAGTTATTCCATAAGCCAAATGCCTACCATTTGACAAGCTAATCTAAAAGATTTACATTAATTAACTATGTTGAAATGTTCCTGTTCTCTTTTGAGTTGTAATGCTCCATCTGCACTTCTTGTAATGTTAGCATGAGTGGAAGTATGGAATATTTATGCTGAAAAGTAATGGGATGGTTGAACATGGAATCCTGAATTTTTTTGTTGGATTGGTTAGAGTATGAAACTAGTGCTCTAGGACATTGTCTTAAATGTTCTTTTTGGAAGCATGAAGTAAATTATTTTGGCTATTCTAGCTTGGCATTGAACAAAAATGCCAACTTTGTTTTTCTCCAAATATCTAATGCTAGATATGTTATAGATATATTATTTGCATATTTTGTTTTTGTTATATTAGATGGCTGATTGTAATCAAATCATCTTGAATATGCTGTCATGTAGTCAAATGATGATGGGGAAAGCTAATAAAAAAGATTAATTAATTATTCTTGGATTATATTATGGCTAAGGTGTTGCCTTAGCATCACTTAGTTTTCATTAATTTATGATGGAACAGTATGGTGGTAGTTTGACTAGTTAAGATGATGCACCTGCTGTTTGTTAAGGACTGGCTAAGAACTGATGTTAATATGCTTTTTATTGCTTCATATCTTGTATCAACTGTATAGTGCTTTCATTTATGTAAGACAGTTTTGATTGTTTATGCATCTTCTTTTTTTTTTTTCATCTCATGAGGTAAAGAAGTTCCTAAACCTTGCCAAGTATATATTATTATCATCATCAGAACATTGTTTTCATTGATCTTACTTGCTTTTTAAGCTTACAAAAAATAAACTAGTTGTTGGGAGTTTACAATTTTTTTAAGCATTTGGTTTTTTCTAGAAATAATAATTTAGGTTGATATATTGTGATAAGTTTTAAAATATCCAATAAATACCAAATAAACAATGTGTTTTACAATGAATGCTTGTTAACTTGCTGGGTTGTTGAATAGATCCATTAAATAACAGGATCTGGTTTACATCCTATAATTTTGTATATTGTTTTGAAGGAACCTAGAAACTTATTGTGTGAAAACTTTACACAAGTTTTGCCCTTATGATAAGTATTTTAGAGATTTCTTTGTCTCATGCAGCTAGAAAATACAGTAAGGTTGTTGATAGAGCTTGAACCTGAGTCAGATCCGGTGTGGCATTATTTAAATGTTCAGGTTTGTGAATTCTGAAATTTGCTGTAGTGTCAAAATTCTCTATATTTTTCTATCCTTTTTGGCTAATGAATTTTTCTATGTTAACATGTCTTTTACTTGCGACATGATTTTATTTAATAAGTGATTGGCATTTTTCTTACATGCTGATTGTTTAGTTGGCTGGTAAAGTCAAATGACTAAAATTCCCATTTCCATCCCCCAAACCCAAAAAAAATTTCTTTACATAAAAGATGCAAGTTATAAAGGCCTTTGTCCAAAATTTTGAAGAACATTTATTTGGGTGATGATTTAGAAAAAAGGTCTTTGTTATTTGGGTTATATGAGCGTCTAATAAAATAACCCTATTTTCAGACCCTCATATAAATAGGTTTTTGTCAGACTTTGAGGTAGGATTTGATAATCTGAAACTTTTGTCTGGAGAAATTTGGCGATTGAGATTTCAAATTATTTCTTGAGTGTTTGTTTTAAAATTATATATGGTACTATATCCTTAAGTCTTGTGAGCCAGTTGCGTTTTTGCAGATTTGTGTTATTTCAATTGCCCATCAAGTAGCTTGAACTTGATAATAAGTTGAGTCCAAGAAGCTCTCAAGTGCTTCTAAACAAATCGGTTCAAATCAAATTGCTATTCAAGTAACTTGAACTTGATAATATAGTCTAGTCCAAGAAGCTTCTGAGTACTAGCATCTTGACTTGCTTACATTCTCTTGCTCTTGAAGGGCAAGTCACTGAAATTTTTAGGTTTTTATTTGATAGAATCATAGAATTCGAGGGTTGCTTGAGAAGTGCACTTCAGATCATGAATCACGGATGGAAACTTTGCATAATGAGATACGTGAAAGAGCACTCTCCGATGCAAAATGGCTGCAAATTCAACAAAATTTAAGTCAGTCTGTAAGTGCTACTAGCTGGAATGATGATCTGATAGGAAAAACTCTTGGCTCTTTGCCTAATTATGAGATTAATTTCATCTATTTTTTATTACTCAGTCAAATGCCAACTATTCTTTTGGGAACATCCAACTGCCTGTAGATTTGCAACCACTCGACTTGACTGGTGAAGAAGTTGATGTTCTTAGAGGAAAATATATCAGAAGGCTAACCACAGTACTTGTGCATCACATACCAGCTTTTTGGAAAGTGGCACTTTCTGTTTTCAGTGGGAAATTTGCAAAGGTACTCTGAACATTGACTAAATCATATTTGCAAGATTTGCATATAGTTATACCCTAAATAACATTATATTTCATCTCATATAGTAGTTCTTATAGTTTGCCGACACATTCTTTTTTGTCTTTACTTTGTTTCTTCTCTGTGGCTTTATATTCATTGCTATAAGTGCTTTTTCTTAACATACAAGTTATCAAGACAATGCTGTGATTCACTCAATTGAATATTTATTCTGGTTTTTATTCTTTCAGTCTTCTCAGGTTTCTGATTCTTCAGGAAGTAAAAATGAGGAAAAAGTCGGAGATGGGAGATACTCAAGTCATTCTCTTGATGAAGTTGGAGGAATGATGCGTGGTACAATATCTGTATATGAAGTCAAGGTGAATATGCATTGCTTGGAACAGTTTAATGTCTTGCTTGTTTTACTACCTTTATGTAATGGTGTTTGCTTTCTGAAATAAATAGCAATTTAGTAATGCAATTTATGATGCTTTGGTTTTGATGGAGTTATTTTGTTTTCATTTATTGTTTGAAAAAGTTCTTTGTCTCTATAACCTAGTTCCCATTCTCTTGATGTCCCTGGAGGTCTCTGAAACTATACATGCATCCATTGTTTTTTAGTATTTTTTTTTCCAAGCAGAAACATGAAATCTGGATGTATGCTTAGACCATCAATAATAAATAGCCATGTTTCTTATTTCTTCTAGAGTTTCTATCCAATAGGTAATCAGTGCAATGATGTAGAGGAGTTTCTAAACTGTTGACCCTTATGTCAAAATATTAAATTGTCTTGGCGAGCTTTTATGATATGCGTTTTTAAATTTCTCATGATAGTACCAAGGCTGCTTGGGATTTTGTTCCGAAGAATTGTGCAGAAAGTTGGTTGTTGTTGAATGTAAAAGGCATGGTTCTCTTCTGGAAAACATGGTTGATTGTTTCCTTAAAATGATTTCTACCCATTGAGGATATCCAGTCCCTTTTTTTTTAACTTTGCACCATTATTCTCTTTTTAAAGTATACATTATGCTGGATAATCCTGAGGAACTGAAATACAAAAATGACCAATATTATTCTAAGGGGTTTCTAGCTTATTTACTGGATTATTTCACTAATTTAATTTCAGAAGTAGACTTAGTACTGTTTGATAACACTAAAAAATCAATTCTGGAATTGTTGCTGAATTTTTGGCATTGAATTTGAGACACTGAATTTAATTGCGAAAACTGCTCAGCATGTTTTGGAATTTAAATACTAAATGTAAATAGACTGCTTGCTGATTGTAGAAGCTAAACTCTGAAAATAATCTTATAGAAAAAATTTCTTTTCCAGTCATTATGTATCTTTTATATATGAACTTAACATTGAATTCTAATTACATATTTGAAGTTTGAGAGATTCAAAATTTACCAATTAAATGATTGGAAAAAGCGTATATTTTTGCAATAGGGTAGCATAAAATTAATATGTTAATTTAGTCTACAAAAATAATAAATAAAGTGGGTGAAAACCTAATTTAAATCATTTAACAAATAAAACTACAATGTTCCAGTCCAGTCAACATGCATTTCTCGCAGGTAGTGGTTCTCTATCTTTTAGTTTTGTAGTGGCTCTTACTGAGTTTGCTGGTGATATAGGTTCTGAACGCATTCCGTGATCTTGAAGAATCTAATCTTCTTCAGTCGTACATGAGTGATGCCATAAAGGAAATATCTAAAGCATGCGTTGTTTTTGAAACAAAAGAGTCTGCTCCTCCTCTAGCCGGTACTGCAACTTTCTCTGAAACTGTTGTTATTGACTTCTAAGCTATTCTAATTTTTTCTTTTTTCCATTTGACAGTCATGGCGCTCAGGACACTTCAGGCAGAGGTTACAAAGATTTACATACTAAGGCTTTGTTCTTGGATGCGAGCATCAACAGAGGGGATAACAAAAGATGAAACTTGGGTCCCAGTATCTATCCTTGAAAGGAACAAATCTCCATACACTATCTCTTATTTACCTCTGGCTTTTCGTTCAGTTATGGCCTCGGCAATGGATCATATCAATATGTAAGTATCTAGAGATTATGATGTTGAATTTCAAAGAGGCGTAATTAGTTATAATGTTGTGTGATTAGAGTAAGTCGTTATTTTAATATATGTTAAGTTGTTTGTAAGTGGTGTTAAGACTGCTCAAGCTTAGTGAGGTTACCCATGACCTATTGTACAGCAATAATTTTCAAATGGCTTTTTATGTGAGGTCTTTAATATGGCTTATGAAAGTGTAATTTGGGCTCTGATATTGCTGACTATGAAAAGGCCAATACTGCTGCCCTTATCCTGCCTATGCAGCCAAACAAGAAAAAGGTCTTTACATTTTAAGTACTTTGCCTTACTAAATGCATTGTGAGGGTGGTTTATTATGAACATCTGCTGAAGAAAGTGATGTCTCAAAATTATGTTTGGTTTTGTCTAGTTTACAAATGTGCTAAGCTGTTGGTAATCAGCTTGGGCTTTGTTAAATGAGAACCTTGCTTAAGCTGAATTCAATCACAACCTGGATGGTTTGTTTCTTAAGGTGTTTACGAAATCAGCTAGGCACAAACATAGATGAGATGGTCTTGAGGGTTCATGAGCACACTTATGATTTGGGCTTGTGAATACATTCATATTTAAAATAGTGTTCTAAAAATGTGTAGTTAATTTATCCAGAATTTCTTACCTTCAAAATATTAAATTTTGAAGAATTGATGATTGAATGAGCCCAGTTTAATCCTGAGATCGGATAATTTAATTTGCTGAGTTGCTAGCTAGTTCTCAGGCTTCTGAACTTGAGCTCAACTTTATGTAAGTTTGATGCATTGTTTATTTTTTAAAATCAGAAGAAATTTCAATAGCCTTAAGCTTTTCTCTTATCCTGTTTGTGGTCATGTCAAATTTTGGGAAGGCATTTGTTACTGATGTGCCATGATATAAAACCAGAAGATTCTCTGTAGGAGTCTTTCTGATTCAAGGGACTAGTGCAAATTTGAAGAAATTTTATACTATTATAGCATTTTTCTAATTTGAGAATCGTGCTAGTAAGCCAGATTATGCTTTTAAAAAAAAACAAAAAATTTTAAATCAGAGCAAACTTGAATAGCCTTAGGTTGTTCTTAGTATGTTTTATGCCATGTCTAAATAACAAAGGTATTGGTTACTGATCTGCCATGATTTACAACCTGAAGAACGTTGGCAGGAGAAATATGGACAGTTGAGATTCTTTTAGCTAAGTTGCTAGCTAGTTCTCAGGCTAGTGAACTTGAGCTCAACTTCTTGTAGGTTTGATGCATTTTAAATTTTAAACTCAGAAGAAATTTGAATATTCTTAAACTTTTCTCTTAGCCTCTTGTGGTCATGTCAAATTTAGGGCGGCATTTGTTACTTATGTGCCATGATGTAAAACCAGAAGATCCTCTGTAGGAGTCTTTATGATTCTAGGTACTAGTGCAAATATGAGGAATTTTATACTGTTATAGCATTTTTCTAATGGGAGAATTCTGCTAGCTAGCCAGATTTTGCTTTCTGAAAAAAGATACATCAAAACAAACTGGAATAGCATTAGGTTGTTCTTAGTATGTTTGCTGCCATGTCTAAATGGCAAAGGCATTGGTTACTGATATGCCTTGATACACAACCAGAAGAACATTGATACGAGTTTGTGATGCAAGGCATTAGTGCAAATTTGAAGAACTTTTAAATTTTATAGCATTGTCAAGTTATAAGAATGTTTTTTGTTATCCATGTTTTGTAATATCATCTGACCCTACCCCATGGAAAAAGGCTCTGTTGTTGTTGATCCATGTTTTTGTAATACCAGTGTACTGATAGCTATTTGTAATATTCAGTGTCAAACATATTATATATATATATATATATATATATATATATATATACATACATACTTGAGGAAGCATATATTGTTGGTTTCTCCTAGTGGATTTTTTCTTTCTTCACCCTCTTTCAGATCTTAGTAAAGATGTGGTCATGCATTATATTGTTATTGATCTATTTTTTGACAGATGACTGCTTTTTTCTTAAAGCTGTTTCATATGTTTCTCCCTTTCTTTATCCAAGGATGATCCAGTCTTTGAGGAGTGAGGCTACAAAGTTTGAAGATATGTTTGCACAACTTCAAGAAATCCAAGAACCAGTTAGACTTGCATTTCTAAATTGTTTCCTGGATTTTGCTGGTACGATGGAAAACAGTATCTTTTTTTGTCTAGCAAAATTTGAAATGTTGCTAGTTTGTCATGATGCTTTCATTACATGCATGTTGATTAGGTCATCTAGCGCATATTGGAAGTGAGCTTGTCCAAAACAAATCAAGCAAAGAAAGTCTGCATTTGCAAAATGGGTATTCTTATGAATCAGAGGAGGAATTATCATCTGATCTCCCTGGAAGTATTGTTGATCCACATCAACGGTTGTTAATGGTTTTAAGTAATATTGGATATTGCAAAGATGAGCTTTCTTCCGAGTTGTACAACAAGTACAAATGTATTTGGCTGCAATCCAGGTATGCTGGGATTCTTTCACTACTAATACCTTGAGCATCAATAATGTTAAAATTGTTATTAGGGGTATTTGGAGTCATTCTTTCTTGTGGTAGCATAATGAGACCTAATGCTTGCAGTGCATTTTGTTAATAATTCAGATTATACCCCCTATTCTTAGTAGAAAGAATCAGCTTGTGCAATCTAGCTAACCTATGTTAACTCAAGTTTTTCAGTTGCTCTTTTTCAGATGTAGATGTTGACATGAACCATATGTATTTTTGTGTACTATTTGCTAATCCTATGGCTTGTCAATGCTGTAGGGAAAAAAATGAAGAGGACTCTGACATACAAGATTTGGTAATGTCTTTCTCTGGACTTGAAGAAAAGGTCCTTGAGCAGTATACTTTTGCAAAGGTATGACAAGATTGTTTGCTAAATTTTGTTGAAGTTACCAGACATTGTTTATTTATTTATATTTTTAGAAAGACAACAAGCACACAACCACTAAACACTTGGAATGGGAAAATTGAGTAAGCTTGTGAGCCTTTTGATGAACCTTTGAGAGTTATCAACTGATTGGTAAGTTGAGTTGGAAATAGTGAATACTGGTACACTGGCTTAGCATATTTGCTGGTCATCATAAAAATGACTCTGCATGGCAATAAAAATAATTAATGCTCAGCTGAGTCTAGCTTTAATTTCGCTTCGATCTGGATTGCTAAGCTCAATGTGATGATGTGAAGATCCTAGATCATCCTCTTGAAATCACTAAATCTTGATTTACTAGGCAAAGTCAGGAAGCTTATTTGTTTAAACTTTACAAGTGATGACGTTTTTTTTTTTTTTGTTTCTATTATAAAGCTGTAAACAGAATCAAATAAAAAAATTCAGTCCTTACTTCCTAATATAAGGTAATTGGTTTTAAAATAAAATAATGCTTGTGTTTTTGTTGTGACATTGGAAGCCGAGTCAAATAAGAAGGTCAATTAGCTTTGAAGCATCGTGAACTATGGTGCTGGATGCATTTGCAGGGAGTATTACATGCTACTTGATCTAATACAACCACAACCTGTGAAAACCATTGAGTTATTAGACAGTTAAATACTTACAAATTAAATCCAAGGCTACACACTTTTCTCCTCTTTCATCTTCCTTTGATAATACAGAGGAGAACATCATCCTATTAAGAGTTTGAGTCTTTCTACTTTTAGGTTTTCTCTGCCCCTTGCTGTTTAACCAACCGCCATGGAAGTAGAGTTAACAAAATTCATGAAATACAACTTGAATAGAATGTTCATACTGAATGCTAGGCGCTCTTGTGTTGTTTGTTGCATCACATTAATAATAATAATAATAATAATAATAATAAAGCTATATGCGTCTCACTAGAAGGAACAAGATGCTAAACACATGATTAATAAGCTATCTATAAAACGAAATGAGAGCATATTTTAGAGCCACATGGAAACATAGTTTTTTATTAGGAATAGTTGGTGGTTAAAGAATATCAGCTGACATAGAATATTGTTATTCTCCTGCAGCATTCAGATCCATTTTAAAATTTTATTTTACAGTAAAGATTCTATCAATCGTGTTTTGTTAAAGAAAATCTCAAGGTGCCTAAAACAAATTGTAAAACAACCAAGCAGTCTTCTCTCTCTCACCCCCTCTCTCCTATGAACAAAGGAAAAAGAAAAGAAAAAGAAAAATAAATGAGGGGAAAGGGCCTTGTTCCTTGTTCTTCTTGTTGGTGTATGCCTTTTGCAGGAATTTTATTCTTGCAAAGGATGACTGACTCCCTTCTGTATTATCTCTATGCTGTTATTGATATTTTACTTTTCCTGGAAATAAGGAGTTGATGGTTGTCTGAGTACTTGAATTTGTTATATCCTCGTGATTCAAAAGGGAATTCAGATTGCTGGCCACTTTATATGTTCCTTTAGCTGATTAAAAACCAACTATGAACCATTGTCCATGAAACAGTTTTCCATCATTGACGTTGTTTGTCGACCATTATTTCTTTTGGTTTTTATGTTCTATTTTTTGTTTTCTCATTAGGCAAATTTGATTAGGACAGCTGCCATGAACTATTTGTTAGATTCTGGTGTTCAGTGGGGATCAGCACCTGCAATAAAAGTAAGAAATTTGTGTTTTCATGATTGGTTATCAATTTTATCCCTCCAGTCAGCTTAGCAAGCATTGAGAACATGAATTGCTCTTATCTTCAGGGTGTGAGAGATGCAGCTATTGAGTTATTACATACTCTGGTAGCTGTACATGCTGAGGTACTTACCACCATATTATGTGTGGCCATATGAACTTAATTTATTCCATTCTAAGTTTTTGTGAATTTTACTATTATTTGTGGGTTTTATCTGCATAAGTGGTTATTTTGATCTTTTATTTTCTCAACAATGTGTCAGAAAACTCTTCAGTATTTGAATTTTGAAGCATCATCTATCTTGACCTGTTTAAGTAAACCATTTTTGGTAATAAACTCAATAATTTGTCTACTTAAGTGACTAATTCCTCATCCAGGTCTTTGCTGGTGCTAAGCCCCTCCTGGACAAGACACTTGGCATTCTTGTGGAAGGTCTGATTGATACTTTTATCAGCATTTTCCATGAGAACAAAACTAAAGATCTCAGTTCACTTGATGCAAATGGTTTCTGCCAGCTCATGCTTGAGGTATCATGTGGCATTTTTCTTTAGTGATTGTAATGGTCTTGAATCTGACCATTGATTGCTGCTTTCTTTTTGTGTGTTACAATGATTGGATACTTACTATTGTCCACAAACATGATGGAAGTGAAACTTTTCTAATAACTAATATCTTTGCTTTGTGAATTTTACATTCTGTGTTCAAACTTGGAACACATTATTATGGTTTTTAAGCACTAGGCTCTTTTCTTCTCATGGATCGCCATGTACTCCTCCTTTTAGGCATATGCATGTATTTCAATGTCTCTCCCTTCTTTCTTTTCCAGTTTTCCTCACCCAATGTTGAAATGAAATATGTGAGGGAAGTGATGTATCCATTTGTGCTTAAGATCAATTGGGTGCTTGAAAAAGAAAATTTTTTTTTCTATACTATTACCTGTATTTGTGATTACCTGATTAATTTGAGCGGCTTAGATGGTTGATTTCTGTGAGATGTGTCTTTGCAGCTTGAATATTTTGAGACCATTTTAAATCCGTATTTCACAGCGGATGCTAGGGAGTCTATGAAGTCTTTACAAGGAGTGCTGTTGGAGAATGCCACTGAAAGCATCTCTGAGGTTGTTGAAAATCCAGGGCACCATCGGCGGCCAACTCGTGGAAGTGAAGACGCTCTTGCAGACGAGAGGCAGCAAGGGGTGTCTGTATCTCCAGATGACCTGATTGTAAGATTCATGTTCTTCTAGGATATCTTCCCATGCTTATTCTTTATGGAGAAATTTTGAACATGTTGGCTGTTGTTATACATTTGCTTTTATAAAATCACACTCTCACTTGGATGAATTAGAAGTAGAATCGCCTCTTCCAGACTTGCTGATATTAATTGACAATGTTATTGTCATGCGAGTATTCTTTGTTGGTTCAGACAGTGTTGGCGGGTTACTAAAGTGTCTATGCGCTAAAGTAAATCTATCTGATTTGTACAAGTTGTTATCAGTTTAGTTTCATCATGGCTGGAGGCATGATCATAGCTTCTTCAGTAAATCAATCTTTTGGGTTTTCTGTTCTACTCTATGGATATGATCTTAACATGTTTTTGGTTTTTCCCAGGCTCTTGCACAGCAATATAGCTCAGAATTGCTGCAAGCAGAGCTTGAGAGGACCCGCATCAATACAGCATGTTTTGTGGAGTCACTTCCATTGGAATCTGCTCCAGAATCGGCTAAAGCTGCATACGCATCTTTTAGAGGTTCAATGGACTCTTCCAGCGGAAACTACAGAGGCGCACAAGCAATGGAATCTCCGAGTTTCACCCAGCGTAGGCGCAGATAAATTAGCCACCGGCAAAATATTATTTTTAAATTTCCCAATGTTCATGTGTTGCTGTTGATACATGTAATTTTGAATTAAATATGCATTTTTTTGCTGTCTATTGGGATCATTAGAGTATGACTTTTGTAGCGAGGGCATATTTTGTAGGACCTCCCTGAATTGTGTTTGCCATGATTGGTGGATAATGATTAATTTTTGATACATATGAACTAGGAAGACCATGAGATGAGATCCAAGATGGATTTAATTTTTATACCTTTTTCATCTTGTACAATCCTTGATGTTGTCAACGTGGACCTTTCAATTTCTTCTCATTTCTTTTTATTTAGAAAGAAAAAGACCCAAGTCGCGTTGGAGACATGAGCACCTATACCATAATTAAGCATCCAAAAGCAATGAATTCTAATCATTGTTACCGACCTGCTTTTTAGGTGATACTTTATTCTATTTGTTGGTACTTCTCATTTTTATTTCTATAATATTATTGGAAAGATGTAGCTTTGCCACTATCTTTTGGCTTAGACACCTTTTTTTTTTTTTTCTTTTACTTGTTTTATGTTTGATTGGAAGAATGTGTTTTTTTTTTTTTTTGTTTTTTCTTTTACCGGAAGCAAGAGGAAGAAGATTCTTTGACTTTTTTTTGTTCTCTTATATTTGACAGATATATTTTAACTTGATTTTCGAAGTTTTTTTTTTTTTTTTTCCATTACTACTTGAAAGAAAGAAAGAAAGTGTGGCGTGAAAGAGAGGCTTATACGGTGTGTGAATTCTTCTTTCTTTTTTCTTTCGTCATTTTTTCAAGCATTTTTCGATAAAAATTTTTGCTTTTTTTTTGTTATTTAATTGAATGAGGGTTTTTTTTTTAGGATGATTTTGGTGTTACAGATTTTAATTTTGTTTAATGAAATTTGATTATTGAATGGAGTTTGGGTTTTGTAGTTGAAAGATTTGCATGTTATTGTGAATGTGCTTTTTTTTGAAAGATTTTGTCTTTGCATATTTTGATATTGGATGAAAATTAGTTTTTAGTCATTATTTTCTTTGATGATGCTTCTTTTCATTGCTGTTGTAATCATTTTTTTTATAGAAACATTTTTTAGTGCATATTTGTGGCATTTTAAAGGATTATTTTGTTTTGCATGTTATTTGAATGAAGTTGTAATTTTATTTTTCATTTTTTGTCTCAGATTTGTTGAAATTTTTTTATATTTAATTTTCAGATTAGTATGAATTATTTTATATGTTATTTTGCTTTATTTATTGTGTATTTGGGTTTGTTAAGTTGTATGTGTTGTTTTTCTTTGCATTGTATATTTGATTTTTCTGTTACGCTTATTAAGTGTTTGTTTGGTTTTTTACATTTTTTTTGTTATAATGTCTTAGTATAATTAAATGAATTAATGAATCAACATCTTCATTTGTTGAGGATTGTAATCATCACAGTTGAGTTTTTTTTTCCTTCTTAAGATGTTTTTGTTGACAGATACATTTGTTTTGGTACTGGCTTCTTTTTTTTTTTTTTTTAGGCTAGAAAAGTAGGCAAAATGGACGAAAGATTACATTTTTAGGCACAGCGGATGAAACAGTATGTTTCATAATTTAATAGTAATGCAGTTTAGTATATGCACTTGGTTTTACAATATCATGGAGCCTAATTGGTTGGTTTTTGGTGTCTTTTGCAGCCTAATACAATTATTGGGCACATAGTCTATGTCCTTCAGTAGAAGGAACATCCAAAATTAAAGCGAAAGGGAGATGTGGAACACACATTGTCTCTGACTAAGGCTTTGTGTGGCTTTGATTTTGTATTTACCCTTCTAGATAGCCGACAATATCTAATCAAGTCAAACCTCGAGGAGGTTGTGAAGCCTGGTAAGTACTTGGGAATGTTTACATTCATCTCTTAAAGCTTTCTTCTATTGATTGCTTGGTCGTTGATGTTGGGTGGTAATTTTGAAAAAAGAAAAAAAAAACTCTCATAAATTCTCACGGCTAATTTTATATCAGACTTGCAAAATTTTAAGCAATCATTTTCTTTCTTGGATATTGATCCCACTATGCAATCACTTAACCAATTTGCTGAGCTAAACCAAAGTGTCATAGACAATTCATGACTAAATTTCCAAAGCTTTTTACCATTCTCCAATGACAGCTTCTTCAGCAATCAAGCACCTGAAATTCCAAGCAACTCGATTTCTGTAGGGTTTTTATTTTTAAATTTTAAGTTTGGCAATCATAGACTTTGAGATGCCAACAAATTAGTTTTAAAGCTAAGTTTTATTGTTAAATTTAATTTTCTGGTGTTTAGTTGGGCTTTATACTTCAATGCAATTTGTGTGTGATTTTTCAGCTTGTATCATATGCACAACTTACAAGGAGTGTTCATGAACTTGCTGCTGCATCTGATTAGGTAAATATTGGATACTTTTTTTTTTAACCTTTTTCCATTCTTTGCAAGTATAGTATACTTTTTTATTTTGCTTTGCATGCAATTTTTTTAGATTTATTAATTTTTAAAAGATTTTGGTATTTCTGATTTTTAATTTTCAAAATTTTTATTAGGCTATCACTCTGCTTGAGACATTGGATCTGAATGCCATGGAATTAGAGTATCTAAAAGGTGAAGAAAAAGTTCGACTGTTTAAAGACATCGAGTCTCGAGAACCTATCTATTTCCTTTAGTCACTGGATTTCCTACGTCGACTGCTTTATGGATAAGGAATTATCGATTTTGTGGAATAATAGCTCTTTCTGAATGGGTAACTGCTTTTTCATAGAGGAACTTCTTACTTTAAGACTGACACTAGGACAAGAAGTAACATCGTGCCCCGTTATTGGCTTCGCTGCTAGCCGACCTCCTTTCAAGCTCAAATTTCACCCCAAGCTTCTTTTCTTTACCCTCTTCACAAATCCAGCCTTTGTTTTTCACAAAATGATCTCAAAACCTCATATTTGAGCCAAAAGCCAAAAATTTCCAACTTCTGAAAGTCACAACTCCATCGTCAAATCTTTCTAGTTTTTTTATATGTTGTTCTCCTCTCTGTGTTATTCCTTTTCACTGTTTGGATTGCCCAAAAGATTTCTGTCGTTCAATTTTTTTCTTATTTATTTATTTATTTATATATATTTGTTTTCGATGAGACTAACTTTTCCTTTTTTTTTTTGATGGAGTGCCACCGTTCACGCCTCTCATTTGTCAGAGCCAGACCCTTCACTCAGTTGTTAGTCTTCGGAGTCGCCTCCAATGCCACCATCCTTGGCTGTTATGTTGTGGTTACTTTGTTTTGTCATTTTTTTTTTTTTTGTTGAATTGTGTGGGTGCTAGTGATCACAATGATAAGGCATGCATGGGGACTCTGTGTGTGTGCTGCTATGGTGCTCGATTGAAGGAAAAAGCTAGAGCAAGGGCTAATATAGGGTTGATGCTAGCATTTGGGATAGTGTTGTGAAAGGCCTATGCCACCTATATTAGTTTGGGGCTTGCGAGGGCCGTGACGATCTGGTGGTTGAAGTTTTTAGTGTTAGAGTATAGGGCAGTGAGGTGCGATGCTGTGTGTGTACAGGCTGTTATGGCAAGAGTGTAGGGAAGAGTGGGCAAGGTAATAAGGTGATTGGTTACGGTTGAAATAGGGGACGGGACTGGGTATATCTGGTGCTCAAAGTGATGTAGTCGTTTCAATGAGTGGTGGAGACTGGGGCTAGTTCTTAGGTGTATAGTCTAGGTGAGGGGTTGGTGGATATGACGTGATCTTGGGGCCGGTAAAAATGGGTGTTGGTACCTGTTGTGAGGTTAGGGGGTGGAAATGGGTGCTCAACCTCCGGGTCCTGGGACAAAAGGTGCCAATAGTTGTGGGGATGAATTTGAAGGCGAATGGGTAAGGATGTAAATGATACATTAGTATTCACAAGTTATTCGAGTTTGATTCAAAAAAAATTTGAATTCGTTCGATTATTATTGAGTCGTATTCGAGCTCGAGTAACTCGATTTATCGATCGAGTCGAGTTTAAGTATTTTTATATCCAACTCGAGTAGCTCACGAGCCTAATCGAGCTTTTATATTTAAATATATTTTTATTATTTTAATTAATAAAATATCTCAAATTCGAGTTCGAGCTCGAGTATAAAAATAATTGAACTTTTGTTGAATGTACGAATCGAGCTTATTTTTATATATTAATCGAGTTTAATCGAACGAGCTCGAGTAACTCGATTTCGATCACGAATCAAGCTCGAGTTATAAAAATGAAACTCGATCGAGTTCAAGCTTAATGTCGAACCGCGAGTTGGGAGTCGAGCTCGAGCTCGAGCTTCTCATTATATTGGTTCGACTTGACTCGATTATACCCCTACGAATGGGTACTAGAGCTGGTTCATGGGTAAGGCTCTTTATGGTTGAAGGGTAAGGCAAGGAAGCTAGGTGAATGGGGCTTCGTGGGAATGTTTTAAGACTTTTTGAATGAATATCTCCTCTTCTTTCAAAATTGTTGCTTCATTTGGTTTTTAATCTGGCCATTTGTAATCAGTCCAAAACTTTTAGAATCGTAGAGTAATGGAGTGCAGGGTAATGGTGGAGTAAGGATTGAGGAGTGTACGGGGCTAGCATAGTGCGAAAGGATAATGGTTGGTGCACTGCGCAGAGCGCTTGGCATTTTGCTTGTTGTGACAGTATCCACTTCTTCATGTTTTATTTTTTTGTTTGTTGCATTTCTTTTTTTTTAATTTTTTTTTCTCATCTCTTAATTAATTCAATAATAAAAAAGATAAGTATAATAAAATAAAACAATAAAATTGGGCTTTAAAAATTAATTCAAACTTAAAATTCAAATATTGGGATTTTAGTTGGCTTTTAAGTGCAAATAGCTAAATTTTGAATTAATCTCAATTAAAGCGAGTCTTAACCCAAACAAAATTGAATCAACTCAAATTAAATTAAATTAAATTTTAAATTATGCAAATCAATTCGAAAATGATTAATCAGGATAAATCTAAATGAGTTTAATTTAATTCAATTCAATTAAGTTAACTCAAATTAAAATATTAAAATCAAATTTAAAACTTGAACAAATTTGAGTCGAGTTGGACAAAATTGGATATTTACAACTTTTCTTTTTGCACATTTTTGAGAATTAGGAATGGAGCAAAGACATATAATAATTTTGTTCAAAGTTAACGGTTCAAAGTTTTTCAAAAGTTTTCTATTTT